GAGAGAGAGAGAGAAATATTAATTTTTTATTACTTAGTAAAAAATAATGATAAAAATGTCATGAAAAACATTTTCAAGCTTTTTCTTCGTTCCTCTTTTTTTCTCGCAAAAATGTAGATAATAATAATTTTGATTATCTTAATTTAATTAATTGCTGTTACATACGCGCACAGACTTTATGGCTACTGGCCAAACGAAAGGCTTATATAGAATCGTTCGTTTTGATATCTCATCACGAGATTATGGCTGTAGTCAGTTAATAGGTATCGTAAATCGTAGTGATTAATGCCGCGCTGTGAATAATGCGCGATACCATATGTCTACACTTGGTTATATAATGGTATCTGAAACATGTACATATCGATAGTAATAAGCCGATACTGATATCGCTTTCGCCAGACCTACTCGAGAAACAATAATCGAAAGCTTTCTTTGCGCTAACGTAATACTGTCGTAATACTGTATACTAGATTTTGCATCGTTAAAACAACTTTATAATTATCGACCGAAGAAAATTATTTTTCAACACACTAAAAAAATAATAGAAATATAACATATTTTTTTACAGTTAGGAAAATGAATATTGAAAGTTCTGCCTTCAAGGATTAATACATCAATAAATTTCGATTATTTTAATTATCGCTTAACAATATTAATGTTCTTTAATATCGCACGGTTGACGCGTTGACATTATTATAACAAATTATAATAAATTATAAATTGATCAGAATGAAATAAGGGAAGGTGTGGCAAATCTACGACTACGTTATATGTCTTAAAGTCAAATTAATTTGCCGTCGGCTTAATCGAAATTTCGATAAATCTAAGCGAGACGTACGTCTCTCTGTTACAGCGGAAACCTCGCAAAGTACCACGTCCCCAGACACCGTCCAATGCGGGGGCTGCAGGGCGTCCTACCCCCTCGGAGAAATCGTCCGGTTCATCGAGCACAAGGTCAACCACTGTCGGAGCACCCTCCAGGGTTGCCACAGTCCACCGGCTACAGCTGCGCCAGAGGATTCCGATCCTGAGGACGCTCTCACCCTGAAGACCGCTGATTCCGACTCGAAACTGAACTCGGTGCCCAGCATCTCCGCGCCCATCAACAAGAGGAGCGGCCGACTGGAGAGTCCGCCGACTCCTCAGGGCCCGGGACCGGATACCGGAAGTCCGATTGACCTTAAGGCAAGCGCCAGCTCAACGCCAAAAAGACGGACGGAAGCACCGGACGAGGATAAAGAGGATCTTCCGAAGAAGCAAAAGACCGAGTTTGTGGACGCCGACACGAACACAATCAATTCCGGTAAATTTCTCGCGTTTTTCTCGTCTCGCTTTCTTATCATTGGGAATATCATAGTCATGGGTATTATTATATAATTTAAATGTCGCATTGCTCTTGTTCTTTGATAATAATATGAATGAAATATGTATTCATATGTATAAAAGCGTATGAAATATGCATAATATATCAAAATATGTAAAAATGAATATTTTTTTTATGAGCCTCACGAATAAATTAAAAATTAAAATTCTTTGTGTTAAAGGAATTAAAATTATTAACAAATTTTTATCTTTCGATATACGTATGAAAAAAATGGATTTACATTTCTTCACTTCAAACTTGACCTACGTGCTGTAAGTGCCAAGGCATTTCCTATAAATAAACTGTTCTTATTCTAGCAACAAATGGACGATTCCATGCTCGTATAAAGTTTGATCAGATAATACATCTTTTATATATTTATTCGATTATTATAATATATATCTATTTATGCAAAAGGAAATAATTCTTGAACATGATAACTAAGCACTAAGCACAATATTTCAAAAAGATGTTTTAAGAAAAGGAAAGAATATTTGATAATTTCATGTATTCGATATGTAATAACATTAGTGAAGCTATCAATTTTCCTTCGATTATTATATTTTTCATTATTGAAGTCGTGATTAAATAATGGAGCATTTTATTAGACAAATGATAAGAGCAATTGATTAATTCGGAATGATGAGAAATGACACACGCAATGCGACCCAGCCACAATGTAAGCGCGAAATAACTTAAAGTTTCGTTTTTCAATTTTGCATTCGGCTTTTGTATCATAGATTCCAAATTTGGCAATGATCGAAGCGACTAGAAAATATATACGGGTTTCTCAAAATAGTAGGTGTACAATCGAGGAAGCTGATAATACCATTTCGAAATCTTTCTGGTTTGGCGAATTGTCGGTTTGCTGAAAAGGGGTGGAAAGAGGGTATTTTAAAGTACAGTTATAGGGGGGCTGCCATGTGATGTCGAACCTGGTCGAGCGAACACGAACAATGGATCAGTGGATTCGATTTTTGAATTTAAACCGCCCGCTCGGGGATTGGGGTGAACCTGCCCCTCATGCCTCTCCTCTCGCCGTTCTTCTGACCCCCTTTTGTCGGGAACTACATTGTCATACGTCGAAGGGTTTAACACGCGAGAATTCTCATTCGGCGATGCGACACTCTAGATATGAAAGTGCTACGTTATCTTCTTGGCATTTCTTTAATATTGAACCAAAGCTAAATAATTGTGTTGATCGTTTTTGTTCTACTTTTTTTTTTGTTCGCGATTTGTAAATTGGAATTGTATATGTTTGCGCGAGTTACATTGCTATAAAAAAAGAAAAAACGGAGTATTTATTTGAAATAAATGAAGAAATATATTTTATTGTAATTTTTTCTTTATTTTATAAATAACAGATATAAATATTATTATTTCAAGAAAATAAGACATTATCGATCAATTAATCAATTTTGCAATAATAATAAATTATCTATTTAGGTTTTATTACAATAATTATTTGTTATGTTAAAAATACAAATACAAATTATATATAAAATACAAAATACAAATTATATATTGTCATGAGTAATTAAAAATAATTTTATTTTTGTCACAAAAACGATTTTGAAATTGAACTTTATTCATTTTATTACATTAACATATTACATCTCTAAAGGGTTTAGCGTGGCCTCAAATTTACGCCTACGATTTTTTTTCTATAAATCAAAGGAGTACTCCTTTGAAATTGTCATACATTGCTTAATTGTGCAAATTAATGCAGTGTTTTGTAATATTAAACAGAATTGGTGCTTGTTCTCTGACAATAGCAGTACTAGCTTTTTCTTATTTTCCTTTGCAATTAAATTATTTTTATATATGTGAAAATAAATTTTTGTTGAAAATAATAATACAAAAATTTAAATAATTAGAAAATATTGATTAAGTCTTCATTTTTCAAATAGGAAAATTTCTATCTTCATAATGAAATTATTAATTTCTAGTTGTAGAAACTATAATTTTAGAACTATAATTTTTAATTTAATTAAATAATTTATCATTAATTGTTATATGTATGTGTGTGCACGCAAATCTAGCCCCCGACTTTTATACGAATTTTTACAAACGAAAGTTGACCTCACGAGTATTATTTAAATCATCATCGATTAAACCTGTACAATTTGCAGAATTCGAATCCGCTGAAAGAAAATCTAAATCGAAGAACGGATGTAAAATTAAATTTGTATCTCCTCGAGAAACGAGGGCGGCCATCACGAGGACGAACATAATTGTGTCTCCCGAGGAACAGCACGTCGGTGGTCGCTCGCACACCGATGTCTCTTTAAAGTTTCATCACGCTCCGTGGCACTCACGGTCCAAGCCCCCTCCCCCCCCCCTTTTGCTAGCTACACGTTCCAGCAGCGAGATAGAGAGTTAACCCTTTCCGAACTGGTTCACGACTATAAGAATATCTCTTCGCTCGTGCTCATCCCGCCGCTTCGTCCGGGGATATCCCCGGTTAAGCCCCTTTTGTCGCCTTTTTTTGTCGGATTTTTTGCTACCGGACAACCACGTCGGAAAGCCCAATTAGAATCGTCCTATTGTTCGGCCACGTGGTCCGCACGAGCCGTCCACACGAGAGAGTGTGCCCATATGGGCGGACGTGCGCCACGCTAGTGTATGCAATACGATCGAGTCTCGAGCATTACGTGTGCGAACAGGTAAAGCAACGCGTATCGGAGACGCGCATGTGGAGTGGCATTGGCAGGATGTGCCGAGAGACCCTCGATGGAGACTCGGAGCAAAATTGTAAATCCCTTCCAGTGATTCTGATATTTTTTCTTTTTTTTTTTTGACTTACAAGATATACACGGTAATAATATGAATTCGATACTTTTTTTTTTTTAAATTAGTTAGAAACGCTGGAAATGTATCTTTCTTTATTTTTTTTTTTTATTTTATTTAACTTGTAGTTTAACTAGTAAAACCTACTTCC